CCAAAAAGGCTAGTAACTAAGCCCAGTGAGAAGTGCCACCCCTTTCACTTTTAACAGGGGAGCGAACTGCAATTTGTGCCCTTAAATACCTATGGCCAAGATATTAGGGGATAAAAACCAAACTGACAAAAGAAGTTTTAAAACATGCTTATGAACAGATTTTAAAAAGCTAAATAGCACCTACTCTACAAATAAATACAAGAAACTAGAAACAAATTTTGAAAATTCAACTTGTGAAATTGGCAATGATTTAAGAGAAAACTAAAAAGAATGGACTAAAAGGATGAAAATAAAGTATTTAAGCAAATATAGTTTCAAAAAAACTACAGTAGTTTACATCACTTAACTCACGTGCATCAGAATTAAGTATATCTCAAAATGTTTATCAGGATAATGTAGAGATGGATTATAGATTGAACACAATCCCAGTTCGAAATCTCTTATACAATGGATCTTACGGCCCTACTGCAGTGAGTGATTTTTCAAACAGATAAGCAAGGATTTACTACAGGAGCTTGTTAAAAATGCAGATTTCCCTGGACTCAGTTCCAAAGATTCTGAATTTATAAGATGTGCAGTGGGACTCAGGAATTCACATTTTAACACACATTCAAAGTGACTACTGTAAATAGGGTTAACACTGACAAATCCCGCAGTGTTTTAACCCAACTAAGATACTCAATTTATAAACAAGATAAGCTAAGTGGAGCAAGGTTAAATGCTTTACTCAAGTTTAGAGTTCCCAATTCCTGCCAGGCTGATGGGAGTTAAGGCTCCCCCCTGCCAATCATATTCAGCGCCTTTGCTTTCTTCAGCCTCTCCCACTATCCTACTCCTACCCACTTTCATAGCTGAATCCTGTGATAAGGTCTTTTACAGTCACCTGGGCCCACACTAGGATTGCACTGTTAATTTTTTGATACGTCTTTCCACAACTGGAATAAAGAACTCCCTGGGGAGAAAGTGAGCTTTTAGTTTTTTATTCCTTTCACTGTGAGACATATGAATATGGTATTCCTTTTTACTGCCTTCAATTTGCAAGCAGTATCCTGCTTTTCTCCAAGTAAATACTTAGCACAGTGCAAAGCATATGAGTCCCAAATAAATGGCAGTTTATACTTCTTAGCCCTAGAAAACAATGTTTTTCTAAGTGCTGGTCACTCTTTGCAATGAAATGTGAAACCAATTTAGTGAGTCATAAGTACTGTTAAAGAAAAACAAACAGAATAGTTTGATAAGTGTGTGTGGGAGTATTGTAATGGAAAATGTACTTTTTACTCTAGGGTGCAGTCAAAAACGTTTGAAAGCCACAATTTTGCAAATGTTGATAAACTTCTCCAACATATCTTTACCTTTAGGCAGACAAATACTTTCTTTCACACAATTAACATTCAACCACTCCATCAGTCTTCCCATTCTCCACTAGATACTAGATCTATTTATTTATTTCCCTGGTCCTTAACTCAAATGAAATGGAGAAGGCGTAAGTCCTAAGTTTGATGAGCATTTTTCACAGTACAAGTT